AAATCATACAAGGAAATGTGGGGACGGTGGTTGACTCTAGACTCAACCAAGAATATAACATTGAAGAGGCGACTAGGATGGCTACGGTGGCGATATGGTGCATACAAGACAATGAGGAGATAAGGCCGGCCATGGGGACGGTGGTAAAGATGCTTGAAGGAGTTGTGGAGGTGACGGTTCCTCCACCGCCTAGATTGATACAAGCTCTTGTCTCTGGCGAGTCTTATCGAGGAGTTGACAATGGCTTAAGCGGCACAACCTGTAGCGAAGGCCGTGGCTTTTCGGATCTCAATACCGGACTGTCTAGCGCTGGCTCACGGTCGTCTTTTGGTAGACCACCATCCCCCTGATAAACTTTTAAGATGGTTTTGTCATAAACCGATCCTAGATGTTAGGGTTTTTTTTGCTCTCTAAGAGAGTTTGATTAATCGTAACTGTATTTGTTTGGTTGTATGGGATTGAAGCCTTAATTTGTCTTTTCTATAAAAGAAGGATGAGATTTAATCAACTATACGTGATCATAAATATAATTCACTCATGACTAATCTGATTATGAGATATTAAGCTTATGAATCATTGCAAATAATCAAAGTTCAATGGATCCAGTCACTCTATACATTGTCAAATGAAAACTTTTACATCGCATCTTAATATTAATGGACCCATGAACAGCTAATGCTTGACTTAATCGAGAGTTAATGTTAAAAACGATGGATTATGACCGTAGGGACCTTCTGATTTTCTTCTAGTGGCATATTGGTAATTTGTGTGAATTCTTACCGAATCTTTATTTAATACTGATAAATTTTTTCCAAAAAAAAATTATTCCACACAGATAAAATTTTTAGTGTTTTAAATTCATTTCGAAGAACCGGAACAAGATTCTTTTTGCTGGGATACAAAAGTCGGTTAATAGTACAATCCAACGAGCTATAGAAGAAACCAAATGTTGGTTTGAGATTCATCTCAGAGAGACTGTGAATGCTCAGGCTAGCTCGGAGAGGTCCAGCATGGTTACACAACTTACTCGCGAGAGAAGCTTTTATTAGCATCTAGTACCCTTGTCATTCGATGTGATGCTTGTTTTTGAATTATTTGTTTCAGTGTAATTTGTTTCTTTCTTTGTTTCAAGATGCATGCATCTAATAAAATTCTTCAGACGGTTAACAAGTGAATTTCAAAACAATTATTTAAATACTATTGGTTAAATTTTTTGAAAACTGTTTATTATGAAAATTAATATATTTATACTAAAAAATTAATTATTTTTTTTAATATGTGTAAAAATACAGAAAATTCATCTTCGTGAAACGGAGGGCGTATGAATCATTGCTTGAAAAAAACAATACGTTTCTTTCTTTTAACTATATTAACGGCCACAATTTTTGTGTGTGCATAATCTCAAATCTGTTTTTAAATGGAGTGCGAGATTCTCTCTTCTTCTTCTCCACGGCAAACCTAAATCACAGGCAAACCATAAAATAAATTTAGAAGAACAAACAAAACAAAACAAAAAGCAATTCTCATAAACCATTTCAAATGTTTTCTTTTCTTCAATTCTTTTCTCCAATCCTTCCCACCTAG